CGCCATGCAACTTAACTTCAAAGACGAAGAAGAAGATAAGACGCAAGACCTGCTTTCGATCCATATCCCCAGGTCATCCAACCAACCATCAATACAGCTCACATCACTCAATCACTGGCGATCCCGGCCGCCAAGTACCCAGCGCTAAACCCCAGCGATTGTCACCCCGGGTCCCTGTCCACTCAACAACTATGCGGATTCGCTCGGATTCTGCCGTCCATTGCAGCCATCCGACGCACAATCCGGAAAAGTTGCAGCCGACTGGCCAAGACTTTTCAACTCGCTGATCACCACCTCATCTAACTACTACTCCACCGGAGTTGGCCTATTTAATGGGAGAAAGCAAAAGCGATGCTCTTGATTTATAGTTGCGTGAAGAAGGGGAAGAGAATGGTGAGGAGGGGAAGAAGAGGGAAGAGATGAGAAATGGCAGACATCTGAGAGGGTCATGTTGATCCATATAAAGTACCTCGTAGCCAATCGGATCGCCATGTGAGGAGTTCAGAGCCTCCTTGCACGCTGCCATTCGACATCTATGATTACTTGGGGGATCAGCAATGCCTTCCTTCTTGTAGACGAAGGTCGGAAAGGACTCAAAGGACGTTACGAGAAGCAGTACGGAGCAAGAGCAAAATTCAATGGAAGCAAGAAGAAAGAAAGAGCGCGAATGGAGCCTAAGGGAGACAAAGTCAGTTACAGTTTGCCAGTGATGGCACAAAGAAAGGGGATGGGGAGGCGAGAAAAGATTTCATGCAGGAGCGCACGTGAAATATCAGTGAAGCTGCGCCTAATTCCTAAAGCCGAATAAAAATTGAGAAGTTCGAAAGAAAATTCCGCGCACGGAATCTACAACGTGCGAATTCCTATGTCCATTCTTATCCATCAGCAAAAATTTCACGGGGCTTACAGGGACATCTCCAAACTGTACATGCACAACTTGAAGGAAAGAACTCGTTGCAAGGTATCCCAATAGGCACCTGTGATTTCCGAAATTCAGAAAACCTGAAGAAAAATCATTTTGAGCGCCGGTGGAATAGGAACCGGACTGATCTTCCCAAACAAGAAGGGTTGAATAAAAATAGAAAGTTATAGGAAGAAGTAGGAAAAACCCAGGGACAGCTTGGGACTTAAACCACTAGTACACAGCCCAGCCTTGCAGTCTGAAACTTGTCACCACAAAAAAACGAGGCCGAAATGTCAAATGCTGGGCTTGCCGTTTATAAATTGGATTGGCAGTCGCATTTTCATTTCATGCTTCCAGAATTCAAGGTGTCAGGCCCGCGGCCCCGGTTCCCTTGTACTGGTGCTTTGAAGTCCAACTAGGACCACCAGAGGTTAGGACTTGGGCTGCTAGGTAGCGAGAAGAGATCAGCTGTAAGGGAGTTTGGTTAGGTTGGGATTGTCTCTGAGATACAATGTCCTGTTACAGGAAGGGCTAGGAGATGCTCTAGGATTAGAAGGCCAGAGGTGCTGATTTTTTAAATCATTATCATTTGAATCATGATCATCATCAGGTTTATGAGGGATGCTGAGCCCGGTTCTCAGCAAGTTTGTTTTGGTCACTCCGGGTAGACTGTGAGGACCCCGGCCTCAATCTCCTTATGGATAATATCGGCCTTGGGCACTGGGTCCTCTTTATGTTAAAAAAAAAAA